TCCGCCCCCCTCGGCCGGGGGGTGGCGGGGGCCGGGCACGCGGCGTGTGCACTTGTACCAGGGGAAAACTGTCAGTCGGGGTCGTCGGTCCCTACGCGCTGCCCCGCGGAATGAGGGGCCGTGCCGAGGGTTTGGGCGGTCGCCCCAGCCCCCGGATTGGGCGCCAGCGCCGGCTGCTTCCTTCCCGACCCCCGCCCCCCTCCCCCGCCCGCCGGCCCCGAGGAGCGGGTGCCGAATCATTCCCCGGCCCCCTCCCCGCTCCCGTTTGCACACTGCTCGCTCTTGGCCGGCCCCGGCGGGCAAGCGTGTGCCTCATTAATTTGCCGCCCGCCCAGCGTGACCCTATCAGCCCTTCAGCCTCGCATAGCCCGCCCCCGGGCGCGCCCAGCTCCAAGCGGCCCCGGGGCAGGCGCCCGGGGCAAGGACAGGAGGGCACCGAGGCGGCAAAGCGGGATGACGGAGGACACACCTGGGCGCGGCCCCGTCGCAAGGCCTGTGCACCTCTCGATTCCCGCCTCCGCTGGAGGGGCACAGCGGTAGCGAGCCGGGGCGTCCCCTCTTGCCGGCAGTCCATCGGCCCTGCTGTGGCCTCCGCCGGGGACTCCAGTCGGCCGACACGCCCTGGCCTGGGGAGGACGAGCTGTGGACGAGTGCGCCCCGAATGCACTTACGTATGCACATGCACTGGAGGGCCGCCCCCCCCCCTCTCGCACGAGGGTCGGCGGGGCGCCGCCGCCACCGGCTCCTCTGGCGGCTCCGCTAGCCGGCCGCCCTAAGTGCGCGGCACGCAGGCACCCTGTGCCGGCTTGTCCGGGAGCACGCCCGGCCCCGGCCCCGGCCCCGGCCCCCCCCCCCCCCCGGGATGCTCACCCAGGCCGTCTGGCCGCCGCGCTCCTCCCCTGGTCCGGTTGACAAGACCCGACGCCCGGGGGGCGAGGGGGCCGAGGCCTGGCGAATTCCTCGCACGCCCGGACGCGCGGGGGTCGCTTGGCTTCACTGGCTTGCCAGCATGTCCTCCTTGTCCCCCCCACCCACCCACCCCGGCTGTGCGTGGCTCCTCTCGCCCTTGTCGTTTCGCAGTCGGCCTGGGCCGCTCTCAGTGCCCTGGCTGACCGAATTCCACGCCCTCAACCACGCTGCTGGCCAACTATCCCTCGCCGGGTGGTTGCTATTTTGAAGTCGCATTCCCCAAATTGCGACGCGCCTCGGCTGGGCATCGCTCCTGCGGCCGTCGTCGCAGCCGCGCTGTGCCCCACGCCCCGGCCACATTCTCCCCCAGCCCCGGCGCCGGCTCCCCCCTCCACTATTGGGGCCTCGGCGCGCGCTCTCGCCCTGTCTTTCAGGACAGCAGCCGCCCCCTCCTCCGACATCTGACGAGCGGCCATGCTCTTATATTTCCCCCCCCCCCCCCCGCCCTCTCTCTCTGAAGGTTATACCCGGGACCGAGGCATGCAGGTGCCTGCTACAAACGCGTGTATGTGGACGTGTCCCTGCCGACACCGGGGGGAGAGAGCCGGTGGCTGTTCAGGTGGCCAATGTGTCTTTGTGTGTGCGTGCTTGCTGCATACTTTGGTGCCTCGACCCTTGGGCTCGTTGGCGCACGGCGGTTCGTAACTCCCCCCCCCCCTCGCGCCGGGCAGGGGCGGGATGCGGCAAGGATCGCCCCCTAGGGGAACAATACGTGCCCCGAGTGGGCGTTTTGAGACAGCCCGAGCTGCCGTCGGGTAGCCGCTGCATGCGAGCGAGTGTCGGCGCACGGCACAAGTGCCCAGCCCGGGGGGGGGGCACTTCGTAACTCGCTCTCGCACGCAGGTTGGTGCGGTCGGCGCGGGGCGCGGCGTTGGCCTGGGGGAGCCGAGAAAGAGCACGGCCAGACCGCCGGCCCGCAAGCTGCGAACACTGGGGGGGCGGGGGCGAAATCCCTCGGTTACCTCGGGCCCTCTCGCGCGGGCACAAGTCCGCGCCAGTGTTGAATGCGCCCGGCGATGAGCCCCCCACCAGCTCTGCTGGCCGGTGAGGCGTCGGAAGTGACACCCCCCGTTTGGCCTGTGCTGTCGGCTCTCTCTGGAGCCTCACTGCCCCCCCCCCCCCTCCCCCGGCCCGGCCCGGCCCCCTTCTCTCGGGCATGGGGAGGCGCTTCACCGGCGCTCCCAGGCCTTTTGCACGCGGGGCGCCCGTTATTCAGCCTCCAGGGGTCCCGCTGCGATTGCCCGCTGCGGTACTCGCCCCCGTTTCCTCCTCCGGGTCCGCCACCCTGCCGGAGGGGGGGGGGGGCGGGGCGGGGCGGGGAGCCGGCGGAAGGACGAAGAGCCTGTCCATCGGTGACCTGGCTCTTGCACCGGTGTGTGTGTGTGTGTGTGGAGAGTGTCTATGCAGGGATGCCACGCGACCGGCCCACCAATAGCCGCCCCGACGCGAGGATTCCTTAATCCGCTAGGCTCCCCGAGCATGCACGTTCATACAAGCGTCCTGGCTCCCTTGCCCGAGCTATGTGCCCAGGCCAAGACCCCGACGCCGGACGGCCGCCCCCGGGCCCCACGCCCGACCGCGCGGGAGAACTGATAGCGCTGTCCGGGCTCCGTGACCCGCCTGTCTTGACCCCTGGCGCGCGGAGGCCGAGCTACCAGAGGGGCAAGGGGATGAGCCGACGCGCGCGACTGTCCGCCACCCCGCCGCCCCCCCTCTCGTCTCGGCCTCCCCGGCAGGTTGGACGTTGGGTGCGCGGGCCGAGAGGGAGAGAGAGAGAGAGAGAGAGACGCCCACAGGCGCCCTCCACTTCGGTCGCCCCCGGCTGCCCGGCTCCCGCAGTTTGCCGAAGAAAAGCCCGGAGCATCCTCCGCGCCAGTCTCCCCGTCGGGGGAGTCGGGCATAGCTGAGAGGCACCCTACGAAGGGCCGTACTACACCCTTGTCCAAGCCTGGGCCGTGTGTCGACGCGGCCCCCGGGGATGCCTCGGGTATGTCCTGCCAATTGCCGCCTCGCCTGGCGCCCTCCCCCTCTCAAGGGAGCACACCCGCGTGAGGGCGAGCTGGCCCCGGTGCCCAAGCCAGGCCCATTCCTGTCCCTCCCGGTTCGGGGGCGGCGACAACCGCGGCGGCGGTGGGGGGGGGGGGGGGGGGGGGGGGGGGGGGGGGGGGGGGGGGGGCGGGGGGGGGGGGGGACGAGAGTCCTCCTGGCTACCAATATCCCCCCTTTGGCTCCCCATTTTGCCCCTTTTTCGGCCCGGCGGGTTTCCCCGGTCTGCCCTTGCTCCGCCGATGCCCTTCCCCCCCCCCCCCGGGGGGGGAAGGGGCGCAGAGGTGGACGGGTCTTCCATGACAAATCACAATTCCGCCTAGCTTCTCCCCGGCGAGCGTATACGGGCGGGGGCCGGGCGAGGAGGGGGGACCGAAGAGAAAGGCACAGAGCAGGCAGGGGCACCGGCGTAATTTCCGCCTCCCCCCCCCCCGGAAGCGGCTCCCCCGGGGACGGCCCCGGCCCAGTTCCATGTACCCCTTCATTCTCTCCGGTAATTCCCCCTGCGTCCTCGGCCTGGCGAGCCGCCCGCCCCTCCCCCCCCCCCAGCACACACTACCACGCCTCCCTGGTGGTGTGTGGGAGACGCAGGGAAATTCGAAATGCTAATCATCGCCCCCGGCCGACGACACCCGGCCGCCGGGCTTCTCTCGTGCCCTTTGGTTGCCCCGCGCCCCCGCGCCCACATCCGCCCGGAACTTGCATTTGCCCCTCGCTCGGGGGG